TGCTAAAGAGATATTATGTCTTAAAAACAATATCACTAGTCTTGTTCCTCATGATGTAGAAGCCTTGAAAAATTAAAATATTCAACCTAGAAAAGACTTAACTAAGTTTGTTGGTGGATCCATGAAACTAAATCTTTTGTTAAAACATAGAAGGATCTCACGTGACTAGTCTTGGTTTTGACTCAAGTCTTGAGACTTCTCAAACCAAACCCAAAGTATTTTCTCACAAAGCTAGTGAATATAGATATAAAAATTCAAGCAAGAGAAAAACTAATGGAATGGTAACTAACAAGAAAGGACCCAAAAAGATATAGGTACCAAGATCTCACACAGTCTTTGTTTCAGATATCCTTGGTGGGAAAGCCAGATGATTCACACCGATACTTGGACAAGTGGATGCTCATGACATATGACAAGAGAAAGGTCTATGTTCCTAGACCTACAACTATATGAAGGATCTGTCTTTTGGAAGCGAAAAAGGAAAAATCAAATGTATAGGTAAGATAGGTAAAAACTTTACACCTACTGTTTGTAATGTTCTTTATGTGGAAGGATTGAAGTATAATCTGCTTAGCATAAGTCAATTTTGTGATAGTGGATATACTGTGTCTTTTAACAAAGATTCATGCATAGTCAAATAAAGTGATGAGTTTGTACTTTTTAATACTAAGAGAAAGAACAATCTTTAAGAGATTGATTTGACTAAGATAAAGGAAATCAGACGAAGCATATAGTTTGTCTAGTGACATTAAATGAATACTTTTGAGTAAGACTAACATTAAATTTCATTTAATGTGTTATTCCTTAATAGATTGGATAAGAAAGAAGCTTCGAAACTCTTAAAGTATATTTAAGAGCATAAAGACAAAATATCTATATGAAGTGAAAAATATAATCCTGGATATCACGAAAAGGTATTGCAAAAAACTATTCTATGCCAACTTCAACTACTTTACACTGACATTACTTTTGTAATACTCTTTTTAAAAGGAAATAATGATAAGTAGTCTACAAGATCAGATAAGAGATACATGCCTTACTGAAAGGTATTTAAAGCTTGTATCAAATGCATCAACGGTAATCTCTAGAATCAGTAAAGAGGACAGACGAAAAAAATCATAAAGAAAATTGAAAGTTCTACTCAAAGTTGTTGTAACGGTCACCTTCTTTGAAACTACTATATAAGGATCAAGCCTTCAAACAAAAAGAGAGATGAGGAGAGAGAGAGAAGCACTGAAAATAAAAAAGATCAACACTTACTGAGAAAGTTCACATTGAGAAATATACTGAGACGTACAAAGATGAAGTATTGCCAATAAGATTTTCATGGAAAATCTTGTACATAGTTCTTTGTAGACTATCATGTGCTTAATCTTTGTAGCATCACGTCTAAAAGAGACGAAGCTATCTTTGTAACTCTTTTCAAATCTATTTGTAAGGGTTAAGGGTTAAGCCTGAAGAGACTTGTTCAAAAGAATACTTGGTGTTGAGCTTGGAGAGGTTTGTTGAAAAGAATACTTGGTGTTGAGCCTAAAGGGGCTTGTTCAAAAGAATACTTGGTGTTGAGTCGAGAGAGGCTTGTTGAAAGAATTCTTGGGTAGTTGCTTGAAAAGGCAAGTCAAAGACTACTTAGGCTTGAGTCAGAAGTGGCTTGTCGAAAGAATACCTGTATCTTGAAAAGGATAATGGAACTCAATCTGGTTGGATTGAGAACTAGACATAGTCTCTGGGTTTGAGATGAACCAGTATAAAAAGATTTGTTTCGCTTCGTCTATTGTACTTTATCAATGCGTCTTTAAAGTTTTACTACTTCACTATTTTTCGAAATTGGGAGTTTTTGATATACACTATTCAACCTCCTTTCTAGTGTGTATCTTTTTCTCCAACAATATGATAATGTTGTATGTTGAGAATTGGTTGTGTGGTGTAGTTGAGTTGTAAGCGGATAAATATTGATGTAAGTTAAGTTGTCTATGTTGGTAGTATATTTGCATTTTACTTCTATACTTAATATGTTGATTTCTTTATAATAATACTAGCTTACTCTTACATGTTTCCTTGTGGTTAGATTGTGATGATCATACTTGTGTAATAACACCCAATTTTTCATAAAATATAATATAAGTATTTTATTGATAATTTTGGCATTTTTATTTTTATTAATAAGAGTTGAGGTGTTTTATTAAGGGTTTTATTTAAATATTTTATTTAATTAATTAAAAGGGAAGAGAATTTGTAAATGGTTAATATTTTTTAACTAGAGGTTTAAAGGGGGGGGTTAAGGTTTTCAAAAGAGAAGTTTTTTGATCAAACCCTTTTACTCTTTTATTTTCATATACACGCTTTAGAGCTCGAAGAATAAGAGTAAGAAAGAAATCACTTTGGTACTGTGCATTCGTCTTCTTCTGCTTACCAAGGTAATGAGGGAGTGAGAAACCTCACTTTGAGTGTGAGATTGTATGTTGGATAGTAGAATTGATCTTCAATCTTGTGAATGTTGTATGCCTATGTGTGGGTTTTTTTTTTGAAATATGTTTGTTTTGTCTCTTGTTCTTCTTACACATTCCTAATGACATAAATTGTTTGAATATATGATCAATTGTATGTTTGGGGTTGTAATTGTATGATCTAAGGTTCCTATAAAAAATCCTAAGGAAACTTGTTGTGATAATCACTACTACAAGATGTATATTTTACATCGGTTCTCTGAAGTCATCTACATCGGTTCTAAAACCGATGTAGAATAGAGCGACGTAGAAAATATATACATTTTTACATCGGTTTTGAAAAACCGATGTAGATTTATGCTTAAATCTACATCGGTATAAAGAAAATAGCAGGTGTATTATAGTAATATCTCATACTCCCACCAGAAAGCTTTTCCCATACGGATAACAAAATTAATAGCTTAAAAAATCATCATTGCTAAATTAGAGTGCACAGATTCTTTTGACAAGATATAATAAACTACATTAAAGACGCCTATAAAAAAGATGCCATACATCCACTCAGTACACTAACAATTCTACTAGACTTCTTTCTGTTTCCTTCCCTTCAAATCTGTGACGCCTTTCTCAAGTTGCAATAAAGTAGGAAATATAACCGCTGTTTATCAGAAAAACATTATTTTTATGTTAATCATCATGAACATAAACATGGAGCCAGTAGCACCCTGGGAGCAAAAAGCAAAAAGCTATATAATGAAATTAAATCTACAAATAGATTACGTCTCATAGTATTATTCCTTTCATACATTGACATAGTATTATTCCCATTCTCATACGTCTGCATAAATGTTGAAGGAAATATTATGAAATTAAATCTACAAACAGATTACGAAAATTTCAGAATAAGAAATGGAAAATTAGGAAGGAAACAAAAGAAGAAAATAACATTTAAACACATAAATATATGGTGCTCTACTAAAGCATTGAATATATATAACATATTTAGTGTTAGAAAGTTAGGAAATTCTTTTAATTTATAACAGAACATCCTAAATTACTTCTAAGGATTAGATTATGTTAGATTATCTTTAGGACTAGTTTCTTATCCTAGAATATCTCCTAGGATTACTTTCATATTTCTTAGTAGTTTAACGATTGCTTCCTTATTTTGGCATTTCCACCAAGTGATTCTTGGAGTAAGCGTGTTAAACAAGAGTCACTGTGTGGTGATGAACTTGGCCATTAATTAGTGAAAGAAGCAACTAGCTCACAAGTACCAGGACAAGGATACTGCTCCACAAAGAATAAAAGAAAATATTACATTAAATAAATGGAATTATCTAGCACAGTAACATAAGAAAAGTAATTTGTCATTTTATGTTTCAACCTGAATAATAGCAAAAGCCATTCACTTAGACTGTAGAAATTATAAATAAGAATTAGGAGGCTTTTCAAAAGAGCTTTCTACAATATATTTGTGCTTGCCTTATGATATAACTGTTTGGGAGAGCTTATAATGCGTTTCCAGCTAATTTTAATATGCTCTCCAGGCTAGCTTATGAAAACAGCTTACAACTTACATGAAAATTGTTTAATTCTATTTACCCTTCGATTATAGAAACTAATAAATAATAAGTATGTGATAAGAACTTATTCAATAAGTACTTAACTCAGTCATTTACCCAAAAACACCATAAGAAGCAATTTAGTCGTGGCATTTTCTTACTCAACACTACTACAATATGCACATTCTACATCGGTTCTCTAAAGCCATCTACATCGGTTCTAAAACCGATGTAGAATAGACCGATGTAGAAAATGTATAGTTTTTTACATCGGTTTTGAAAAACCGATGTAGATTTAAGCATAAATCTACATCGGTTCTCTTGAGAACCGATGTAGATTGATTTTTTTTAAAAAAAAAAATCATGCTTATTTGCAGGGAAAACAGCTCCTGAAACTCTACTCTCAAACACCAATACAAACAATTAACGAACAATCAAATGCTTCAAGACACACTATTTGTTGTCAATCTTATTACTATATAATAATAATGATGATGAGATCAATGCCTAAATGGAAGCAAATATATAATTATTGAAAAACGGTAATGAATCAGCAAAATAGGATAAATAATGGTAATTTAATAATTATATGTTAAAGATAAATTTACACATATAACATTGCAACTAAACAATGAAAAAGAAAAATAAATATTATATAAATATTTTATATAATATTCAAACATAAAAATCTTATATAAGTTACTCTAACTCTCTGTTACTATAAACACCACTTTTTATATACATATACACAACTCATACTATTTCTACACTATTAAATTTATTTCTACATGCACATTATATGATAAAAATAGAGCAAGTTAGACAGTAATAATACTACTATTTTTTTAGGATAATAATAGTACTACTTAATTACTGCCTTTGTTAAAACCATCCTATGCACTCAAATTACTCAAGTTTATCCAAAGACAATCCAATCCCAATTCTCCTACACAACAAACAAAACCTTGAAAAAATAGTAACCGACTCACGTTTTAAGTAGGCATCAAAGAGGTTCCCAGTAACACCCTCAATGGTATCATCCACGGGAAGAATATGCACATGCTTCCCGTACTTAACATCAGCACATTAAAAAATATAATTGCACATAAACATTCAACAAACACAATGGTTAGAGAAAGGTGAAGGGAATGCAAACAAATAATATGAGTTAGGACATGTTTGCATGCAACCCCCAAAAAGCAAAAAATAAAATATATATTTATTATTATGAGAGTGTAGCTGCCACTGGAATAAAAAGTTTAGACACAAACATATTCAGAACTCGTAATATTTATAAGAAAAAAAGTTAAAATAAATATACTCATAAGAGATAAAGATTCTAACCCGGAGATTTATCCATGGTTGGACCCCTTTTTCATTTCCTGAAAACAAGCAAATTTGCCAATAATTAAACTTTCAACGCAGTTATAACATTACAGCATACGAACTAGCTACGCATTCAAATGAATTTATGATAAATGAAAAAGGATATAAACATCAAGCAAGTGAACTTAATCTCTTTGTATTGTGCTAGATTCTATGATGCACAAATATGAAACGTATATCTGACACAATGACAATACAATTATACTAATAATATATAGAATATGATAAGAAAACTTTATAAATAGCTTTCACACTTTGAAACTTTAACAAGTGAGATGAACTAAAAAAAAGAGAGAAAAACTGATATTGTGAAGTCTTTGTGACCTTCTTGGAGTGTTTTCTTTGTGAAACCAAGAAGAGAATCATTTTGTGATGAAATGCTTTGAAAGAGATCATCATCATCACTACATTATTGGGAGAGAAAGGATTAAGATTTGTTTGGAATTCACAGTCTGATTTGTTCAGCTTCCAGCTGAATTCGTTTCTTTAATTCTCTGTGTAATGTATAAGGGAAATCTTGAGTAGGTGTCTCAAGTGGTAAAGAATTCTTGTAGTGGGTTTCTACAAGAAGTGCTTTCTTGGGGGCAAGAAAGTGGTTATCTTGAATGTAGGAGTATATGCATGTGTGGTATGCTTATAAAAATTCTTCATTAAGATATTGGAACAAATCTTGATTAGGTTATGATTGAGGACTGGATGTAGGTCACATAAGGAGTGGCTGAACCAGGATAAAATACTTGTTCATTCTTCTCTTACCTTTATCTCTTACATTGAGCAAAATCTTAATTGAGTGATAAAATGATTGATCTTTATTAATATGTTTGTATGCTTAACATTGCTTTAAACTGAATCAAAGTATTGCATATTAGTTGTTCTTAAAACTGAACGTAATCAAGATTAATCAAGAAAGCATATAGGACTCATTCCCATTGGTAAGTCTTTCTAAAAACTTCTTTGAGAATTCATATTAGAAAAGTTTAAGTTGAAATAAAGATCCTTAAAACTCTGATAAATTTTTTAAGTGTTATAGAACCCAATTCACCCCCCTCTTTGATTGAGCCATTCTTTTCTAACAGTGTATGTATCCTAATCCCCTAGTTTTATTTATTGCAAATTGCCTAAACATGTATACAAGCTTAATAAAGATTTGTATGGGCTTAAAAGCTCCTAGACAATGGTATGAAAGACTGAGCAAGTTTCTATTGCCTCATGACTTTCAAAGAGGCAATGTTGACAATACTCTTTTTATAAAGAGAGCCTCAGAAGATATTTCGTTAGTTCAAATTTTTGTTGGTGATATAATTTTTGGGTCGACTAACACATCTCTTTGTGAGGAATTTGTTTTAAGTATGCAGGGCGAGTTTGATATGTCGATGATGGGAGAATTAAGTTTCTTCTTAGGACTGTAGGTCAAACAAATGAATAAGGGAATCTTTCTACATCAAACTAAGTACAGCAAAGAACTTCTAAGGAAGTTTGATATGGAGAACTATAAAATCTCAAACCTCCCTATGTCCACTAACTGTTATCAAACAATGATGTTGCAGGAAAGGAAGTAGAAGAATCAAGATATAGAGGAATCATTGGATCTCTTATATCTCATAGCAAGTAGACCAGACATTATGTTTAGTGTGTGTATGTGTGCTAGATTTCAATCTGCTCCTAAGGAATCACACTTGAAAGCTGTGAAGAAGATTATGAAGTATCTTAAAGGAACCCTCAATGTAGGATTGTGGTATCCTAAAGGTACATCTCTTTCCTTAATTAGTTTTTTTGACTCTAATTTTGCAGGTTGCAAGTTAGATAGAAAAAACACTAGTGGTACATGTCTTATATTTGGAGAATGTCTTGTATCTTGGAATTGCAAGAAACAAGCTTGTGTAGCACTCTCTATAGCTGAAGCTGAATATATAGCAACTGGTAGCTATTGTGCTCAAGCTATATGGATCAAGCATCTGTTAAGTCAGACGAAGCACATCCGCAATCCCACTAATGTTTTGAATATGACTGTAGAACCCTAAAATTGTCCGGGTCGGAAATAAAGCTTGAAGACTCTCGAAGACTGAAGGATAATCAGCCAGAAGGACTCCTCGAAGGCCCTAGGAGGGTATGTTCTAGTTTTTAGGATTGAGTCTTTAGTTTGCTATAATTTTAGTTTTAGCACATTTTTAGGATTTAGTAATATATCTAGTCTATGTTCAGGAGAGGATCCTATTCATTATATTAGAAGGTCTAGTATCATTGACTTCTTTAGGTTCCATGAAAGGATTCCTTCTAGGATATACCTTTCACATTTATTTGGGTTTGAAAGGCAGCGTGAATAGCCTTCCAGAACTTGCGCTGTTGGGCGATGTTGACAAATCTGAGGCCCTCCAACTCCTTTTGGGAGTACCTGTGGTTCCCGATCTTGGGCTTGGGCTTGTTCTTGGGCCATGGCAGTGTTGTCTCGTCGGTCCTCCTATTGTTCTTGGCTCCTCCTCCTCGTCTTCTTGAAGAACGGAGGTTGTTGGCGACGGAGTGGAGAAGGGCTAGCGGAGAAGGCTACGCCGTTACCGTTTTCAAGGAGGCAGTGGAGGAGGCGGCGGTGGTGGAGGGAGGTATGGCGGAGGCGATGGTGGAAGGTACGGTGGAGGAGGTGGCGGCAGTGGTGTTGGAAATTGCTACAGCTGTGGAGAATTAGGGCATTTTGCAAGGGAGTGCCAACAAGTGCTCGTTGAATGGCTAATAGTTCGTAAATAATGCGTAAAATGGCTAATAATAGTGTACTTTTACACCGTTTCTTATTAAAATCGATGTAGAATAGTATACTTTTACATTGTTTCTTATTAAAACCGACGTAGAATGGCTAATAATTTGTAAATAATTACAAAATTTCCACCGCACCTTTTTTTTACATCAGTTATTGAACAACCGATGTAGAAGACCCGATGTAGAATAATATTTTTGTAGTAGTGCAAGCTTGGATAATGATTTCTTTGCATGTCCGCCGCTACCTCCATCATCAACTTCATCCCTGTCTGGTCCAACAAGATCAATAAGGCTGATTATGCTAGTTTTTGAGCTACTCAAACCCTTTTTAGTTCCCTGCAACATCAATTTATGAAAATAATGTTTAGCAAAAAAAAAAACTAACAGGGAAAATTGACAATATACCCTACACAACTGCTGTCTACAGATAATGTTAGGTAGAATTACAAAATTTGGTAGCACCTTGCACAACGACTCAATGACAATTGTGAAAATGATATGTGATCTGGAGCTATTAGAATTTAAGCTTGTTGCTCCAATTTTTCTCCTTGAAAGGCCCTGCAGCATATATGAACAAATGAATTTAGATGATAAAGATTAAAAAGAACTGCAGTAATGCATAGAATTGCTTGAACAAAATATCAGCTAACAATGGTTCCCTACCTTAATCAGAATTATTTGATGGTTCCCTACCTTAATCAGAATTTGTGCTACATCATCATAGTTAGTTATGTATTCCTCGATCAGATTCTCAACATATGGTGCATTTCTGAAATCATCCTTCATCTGCAAAAATTTTGACCAAGGCATATTTATAATAAGCATTTTAAGATGTAGTAACTAGAAACACAAAATAATATGTTGATAAAAAATTATACCAGCATATGCCTACCTCAAGGTTCTGTTGTATAGGATAATGATTTCTCTACATGTCTGCCGTTACCTCCATCATCAACTTCATCCCTGTTTGGTCCAACATATACTAAACCTCTCCATCACCACCACCGTTTCTGTCAAATTCATCGCCCTTAAATAGATCATCAACCCGAACACGTGGTGAGTCCGTTCGTGTCCTGGTGAGTGACTCAAACTCGGGCGAGTCGAGCAGCACGACTCGGAGTCCAAGCTCACGCACTTTTTCCACGGCAGAGGCTGCTACGAAGACGATGGAGGGCTTGTTGAGGTGGAGGAGGCACGTGAGGTCAGAGCGTGTGGAGAGAGGGTTCGCCGGGGAGAGGACCACGTCGAGGAAGAGGAGCGCAAAGCAGAGGATTCGAACTTGGAGAAGGATAGAGGCCATGCCGGCGAGGATGATGGAGGCGATGGCAACGAATTTGAGGACGAGCGCGGTGGAGTCATCTCGGCAGAGGTCAGAGTCATGGCCGGCGCAAGTGGAGTTGGTCATGGATTCCCAGCGATCTCCGGCTGCGACGTGACTGGCAGAGGCGGTGGAGGGTGGCTCTGCCTTAGAGCCCCGGTGTGGCGGCGGCGAGGGTTAGCGGCGCTGCTTGAGGTGTTGAGGAGAAGCCCTAATTGTGAGATGAGAGGGTATGATTTACTAGGGTTATCGCGTGGCACATAATAGGGTCTCAATTTCTACATCGGTCAATAACAAGACCGATGTAGAATCGGTCATATTTACATTGTTTTTCCTCTCAACCGATGTAAATATGTTTGCATTTTCTATTTATTTACAAGTTTGCCACCGCGTTTATGATTTACATCGGTTCTAATATAACCGATGTAAATATAGCGATGTTAAATAGTATTTTTCTAGTAGTGAATTTGTAAAGATATTGATTGATATGTGTAAGTTGAGTGATTTGAAATGTTAATTGCATGCTATAGAGCAATTAATCGATTGTATATGTGTTTATGCATGAAATTGGATGTGGGTAACTTGTAATCGCTAAAGAGACATGATTTTCGGGAAGGAATTGTGTTCTCACTCTATGAGACGTGTAAGGTCTCTCAATGAGAAGTTCGAAGGCTTAACTTGCTCAACTAGATGTTGGTCGCTCAACGAGAAGCCTTAAGGGTCTCAATTCCCTTAACTAGATATTGGTAGGTTATGAAAAGCCTTAGGGGGCTCAACTCTCTCAAGTAGATATTGGTGGTTTAGTTAAATGTTGGTGGCTCAACTAGATGTTATTCACTTAGCAGGAGGCTCTAGGGATCTCAGCTCGCTCAACGATTGCTAGATGGTTGTTTTATCCTTGTGGTCTTGATACTACCTTTTTACTAATGAATAATTGATTTATTTAAGAATGTACATGAGATATATGAGGTGATATGAAAAATATGTGATATGTGAAGTGAGATAATATGTATGTTATTGTATTGAGTCTGTTTGACATGCATCATTCATATAAAAATGTGTTTTAAGGTTATGATATGGAATAAATTGCTAGAGAAGGTCCCCTTGTGTAAAAGTTTGGGAATCAATATTTGGGAATAACTCAGTTTGAAAGTTCTAGTTTTACCCTCGTAAGCATGGATGTACCTTACGTGACTTAGCTATCCTAACCAAATCTTGGAAGTATGTCTTTCTAGTGAAAGTGCACATAGGGTGTGATCCGAAATATACTTCTAGACTACTCTATGTGTATTGCTGGCTACAATGCATAAATGTGATATTTTTACTGGCGCCACATGTATGATAACACGTGTCCATTGCATATGCATTATAATGTTAATTGTTACTATTTATTATGCCATGAATGAGTTGAGTGTGATAATGATATTATTTATGTATACTATGACTTGTCACATGTCTTATTTGTGTTTGGCTATCCGATTTGCATTCTTACACCATGAGCTAGAGTCAGATGTTTCTCACTTCCTTTGTTTGGTGTTGTTTTCCTTGGTTGTTATGTAGATGATCATCAACATGAGGTTGATGATGTTGATGATGAGGCTTAGGCTTCAACGTTGGATTTTGCTCTAATAGGACATGTGACATTGGGATTTAGTGATGTTGTTCTATTGAATTATTTTGGAAGTCATTAGTTTATTTCCTTGTAATTTTAGTTGATGATGATATTTTGTTTAAGTTAACAATGTGATGCTTTCTATCCGAACAGAATTTTATTTATTTATAAAGAATCATGTTATTTAACTTCTATTATTTATATGTTTTGGTACATAGGATAAAGGGTGTCACAATTATGGGAGCAGGGTAGGGATAAACAAGAGGAGGAGTGTTTTGAGGCCTTGTTGGAGGATGATGACGTTGATTTTTTGAGCTACCCTAGTGTAGCTAGTTTGGTTGTGTAGCTTGATCGACAACCTAGGGTTATGTTTTAAAATTTTTTGGATTACTGTATATACATACATGTGTATCTTATAGATGTAATCCCCATGAGGGTTTTTCTTATGATTTTTGTTTGATACAACTAGGGATGGCAATGGGGCCCCATGGGGGCGGGTAATAGTAAATCCGCCCCGCCCCGTTAGATAAAAATTGTCCCCATATCCACCCCATATTCGCGCGGGTATCCATTGAGCGAGTATCCATGAATTTCTTGAATACCCACGGATATCCATGGATATTTACAAATTTTTAAGAAATTAAAAAAATTAAATTACAAATAATTTTAAGTCTATATTTAATGTCATTGAAATATTAAAAATAAAAATTCAATGTTAATTTTAAACTTGTATTTAACATTAATTTTGTTGAAATAATAATAAAAATGTAAGATAATCAATGACTTAAAATACATCAATCTCACAAGTAAGTTAAAGTCTCATCACAAAGCTACAATAATTCAATCTCATAATTCCAAATGAAAGTAAACAACTTAAAATACATAAATTTTATTGATCCAATCAAAGCTAGAAAATTAATCAAATTATATCCAACATAATTCTATAACATGTTTAACACATGTTGACTTCATCAACCTCACTTTTGTAAGAAAATAAAACGAGAGAGTGTAGTTTTAGAGTTTGTGGTACAAGAATAATTAGGATATTTAAGAAATATTATTAAACGGGTACCCGCGGGTATGGATATCATCATACCCGCCCCCACCCCATTTATAAATGGGTAAAAAATTATCCGTCTCCATTATCCGCGGGTACCCAATTAACCTATCCATTTATTATCCATAGCGGATTTTATCCGCAGATACCCGCGGGTACGGGTATTTTTGTCATCCCTAGATACAACTTATAATTACAAACACATACACACACATATTATTGCATGTATATTTAATAGTTGTTTGCATGTTAATCCTAGGTAGTCATATTTGTGTTTTTTTTCCGTGAGTAGTTGAACCTTAAAGTGTAGTAATTTGATGGGTCATCATAATTAACTTCATATTAGTGATTATGACTTCTTTCTCTCTAAATTAAAATTACAAGAAGAAAGTTAGATTAAAAGACGACCTTGAATCTTAGGGTATAAGCTTTAATGATAACAAACTTAAACGTTATTTTAGAGAAAAAATTTCCAGATCATACTATAAGACGAATAACTATAGACAACTAATGATGTGTAGTCTCTTAGATGAATGACTTCGTTTGAAAGATGAAAGCAAATATTTTATATCATTTATGTTGTCTAATATAATAACCAAATTATATTCATCTATGATATTCCTTAACATATTGAAAGGAATAAAAAACTTTTTCAGTACTTACATTTCAAAAAGGAATAAAGACATGCTTTTCATCAAAGAAAGGACAAGCAAATCTTTTGAAGCATGTGAAATCTAATAAAAAGTTATTCCTAACTAACACATGTAACACTTCTTTCCTTTGTTACCAAAAAAAGTGATAAGTAGTTTCTTTGATCAAATAAAAAATGATTATTAAAAAATCTAATGCTCACAATTAATGTACTAACAAACACATATCCTTTAAAAGAAGGAAAACGAATTCGAAGACAAATGAAACAAGCCTACGAGATATGCTCAAGGATTTACAACGATCATCTTTATGAAAAACTTATATAAAGAAGCTTGAGGACTCAAAAAGAAGAGAGAACAATCAATTGTAAAAGTTCATATGCATTCTTTCTGTAAAAGAAAACTTTGTACTTAAAATTGGTTGTATATTATGTCTTGATAGTAAGACGAAACAACAAGTGATTTTTCAACTTTAACTTTTGACATTGGAGATGCTTATTTATAAAAGAATACTTGATTGTTGAAATCCAGAGAAACTTCGTTCTTTAAAGAATATTTGGGTAGTTGCTTGAAGAGATGTTAAAGAACACTTAGGTTGAGTTAGAAATGACTTGTGAAAGAATATTAGTTTCTATATAAAAAATAGTTGGACTTGATTAGATTGATCAATAACTGGATGTAGAGGTTATTAAATTAAATTAAAAATTATTATTTTTTAAATGTGTGCAAAATATGTTTATAATACTTGTAATTATATATTATCATTATCATTTTCTCAAAATTAATTGTTTTTTATATTTAATTTGAAAACTATGTTCTAAAATAGTGATTGACTTTTTTTTTTGTGTGTGAAAGATTGAGTGAATTATCATAGTTTGAGATGTTGAACATTTTTAATTATTAAATTCAATTAATAATTTTATTGTTTGAAAGTTAAAAATCAAAATAAAAAATTAATTATATAAGAGTAAAAAATTAAATATTCTTCTTTTTGAAAGGCATACAATTTGTTAGACAAAGCCTTAAAGTGACTTGGGAATACTTTGTGAAGGAAAAGAAAAAAAAAATAGTTGAAGGGCAAAATTTTTGTAATTGATTGTTTGTCTTTCGCATTAATGCAGCCTTTATTTTACTGGCTTCCATTCCAAGTATTAAGCTCTAAATGTACATATGAAGTTTACTCAAATTTTAATTTTCAACCATTTTAAGAAATGATCAAATTAATATTAATTGCCCATAATTTGAACTTTGATGTATATAATGTAGTCTTTAATTGCAAGCAAACAATATGAATGAAGAAGCATCATCATAAGAGGAAGTGTTCAAATAGTAATCACCAAATATTGCTTAACATGATTCATTAATCAAAAGGTAAACAATCCTTCATCATTAAATAAAACAAGGGTAGACACCCCTCTGAGCGTTACTCATTAACTGCTCATCCATATTCGAACAAACCCACCTACTAAACAACACAACAACATTAAAACGAATTGTTCACCTGACACAATAATGACAATTTATTAAATTCACCCTCAAAGCACGAAAAGAATTAATTTCACTACTATTTCTTTATTGAAAACAAAGAGATGAACTCCAAGAAAGGGACAAACAGAATATAACTCAGGACAAGGAGAGTCAAATAGTCAACATTGTGGAAGATCCGAAGGTGGTGGTTGTAGCTTCTGGTTCAACCCTGGTCCATTCAACACTAACCATGCCATGCCAAGACCCCAGCTTATGTGAACGTCTAGGTGACAATGCATTAGCCACACCCCTGGGGTCAACACGTGTCAAAGTCAAACATAACATAAAAAGTGATGATGATGTAAGAGACTTGTTTATATATAATCTGGTGTTTCATGATGGTGCCACTCTAACTGCTAACATGTTTAGTTACAAAGGGACAATGCTCGGTTGAGGTTGCATGAGTGAACTTTGGACAACACATGCACGTACGTCAGGTTTAAAAGCATATAGGTTACGAAACACTAATTGCTTCTGGTGACTTTGAACTAATCCTCATAAAAAAGGTAAGGAGCAATATGTTATTATAATAATATCTAGATAGCGTTATTCTAAAATATTTTTATTGAAAAATGTGGTAGCTGTAGCATGATTTTATTGCAATTAGTATTGTTGCATATTAAAAATTGTTTTGACAAAAAACTTATTTTCTGTAACTTTTGATCAAATTATGATTTGATGATTTCAAACGGGATATCTAACACGATTCATCGATTGAATAATTAGAGTATAATATAATATGGATCAATATTTTATAAAGTTATATTGGTTTAATGCTAAACAAAATGTAATGTTTATATAAAGCAAACTCATTTGACGCTTTAAACATAATATTTTAATTTCAATTACACCATTTCCGAAATCAAAGATTTTCAAAGTTGAAACTACCTATGTACAAAAGTTTGCACAAGGCCAATATGTAAATTCGTGTAAAAAAGAAACATCAAAATCCTTAGAATTAGGATTATGATTTATAAATAATCATTTTTTGCACAGAATTTTCAACAGAAGGCAAAACCAAAACAAAAGTACTGCTCTTTATTAAATTGTGCGATTTTTCTATCTCATGCATACATTTTTTTTTTTTTTATGGAGATATTATATTCTTCACTATAGCTATTGACTATTTTTCTATCTCTTTATCGAATTCTTAATAACATACTTAAAGATCCCAATTATCTATACATAACGAGTTGGATTTTGTTGATTCTATATCCAGGGTAAAAATATTTCTGATACAATAAATAATTTTATGATTTTGGTATAGTATTTTATTTTTAACATCTTTTTGACCCTTCTTTACTCACTAATGCATGGAATAAGATATTTTTTTTAGTGATAATGATTTGAATTTTGAAATGTTATCATGAACACGAGACAATAAGAGTCAAGAATATTTGACATGTATGTACGGACGACGTACCAGGGTTGTCTGCTAGGAAACGAATGGCGATCCATCCACCAGAAGGAACACTAGCCGTGTTCCTCTCAACAGGGTCCACAACATTGAAATTCTTAGCGTCTTTGTCTGGTTCATAGTTCCCAAAACCTTGTCCAACAACAAAGAAATTGTACCCATGAAGATGCAAAGGGTGGCTCTCACCTCCAAGAACACTAGTACCTTGCAACACCAGCTCCACGCTCGTATTGAACGGAAGCACCACCACCTTCGTGCCATTGTTCACCATAGTGTTATTCAGCCCCGTTCCCGTGTAATCAAAAGGGTTCAAAGGGGTGGTCGGAAAATCAGTGTTGAAACCCCCGTTAGGGTTTCCAAAGTAGTAAGACTGAAGAATCGCTACCGTAGGAAGTGCAAAAGAAACGTTGTTCAACGAGGCTGCGAATTTGGTTCCGTTACTGGGTCCTTGGCACGTTGTGTTTTGTAGACAAGGGGTGGTTCCAAGTCCAACGGTGAAGAAAAACTTCTTATCAACTTTTTGGGGTACATTGGAAGGGAATTTAGCGTTGTTCAAGCTTCTGAATTGGCTTGTGAAGTTTGCAACAAAGTTTGTGGCGTTTATGGGTGGGAGGGTTGGCAACAAGAGGGAAAGGTTTTTGGGATGGTGTGAAGATGATGGATGCTCTTGTTGAAGGATACCTGCTTTCGACGATGGATACTTCGTATCAGTACCATGATTCAGAAAATGATATTGGAGGATACCGGCGGTGGTGGAATTGTCGATAGTGCCCCTGCCGGTGAAGTAAGGCCTTGCAGCCATGAGATAAGTTGCATTGTGGGAGTGTGGTTTGGTTTTGAGAAGAAGGTTTGTGGTTTGTCCCGGGGTTATGAAGATTATGTCTGTGTCGAATGGTTTGGTGTATGAAGCATCAGCTTCCACAATGGTTAGGGTGTGGTTGGCAATGCTAAAGAAGAGCTCGTCGTTGAGTGCAGCGTTGATCAATCTAAGAAGATAGGTCTTGCCTGGCTTCACTATCAGCTTGAATGTATCTGCAACATCATGAATGCAGTGAAATTTTTTTATTGGTGTTTATTGTTTGTCTGTACTGTGTATTAGATATATTGATTAATTTTTTTTTATAATCATATTATTAATTAGTATTAGTACAAAGATTTATGAATTTCATTATCGATGATTAAAGTTGTTGGAGAATTTGATTAATTATCTTTAGTAGAGTGTTTTTTTTTCTTCTCTTCTTTCAATCACGTTTTTCTCATACACATGACCAAAAATCAAGACTTCATTTAAAGAAATTGGATTTGATATTACTTTGATCAACAATATGATGGTTGATTAATTATTTTCTATCTTTATAATTACTAGTGAAATTGAGATTGTGTCTCTATATTTGTTTAAAAATATTTAGAAATTACTAATATTTGTTAAATTAATTGGTATTGTATCTAGTCCTTAAACTTTAATAAAATTTTGAGTTTTGAGTTTTAAGTTTGTAAAAATAACTAATTTTTAATATTTTTTTATTATTTAAAAAATTAAAAATAAAACAGTCCAAAATTAATTGGTTATCAATATAAAATACTTGTTCATTCTTCTCTTACCTTTATCTCTTACATTGAGCAAAATCTTAATTGAGTGATAAAATGATTGATCTTTATTAATATGTTTGTATGCTTAACATTGCTTTAAACTGAATCAAAGTATTGCATATTAGTTGTTCTTAACTTTGAAATTTATCAAAGATTAATCAAGAAAGCATATAGGACTCATTTTCATTAGTAAGTCTTTTAAGGAACTTCTTTGAAAATTCATATTAGAAAAGTTTGAATTGAAATAAAGATCCTAAGAACTCTGAAAATTTTTAAAGTGTCATAGAATCCAATTCACCCCTCCTCTTGGATTGAGCCATTCTTTTCTAACAATTGGTATCTAGAGCAAGGTTGTTGAGTGTTATTCAAGATTTCAAAAATGGCCAACAACAGCCTACCTTATGGTAAGGGTGTGTCTATTCATAGACCTCCTGTTTTCAATGGTGAAAACTATGTCTATTGGAAAATTAGGACGAGAATTTTCATTGAAGCAATTGACATTGCTGTGTGGGATGTAATTGAAAATGGACCCTATATCCCTATGACCAAAGATGATGATGGGAAGAGAGAAAAACATTGGAGTGAGTGGAGTGATGATGAGAGAAAAATAGCCCAATATGACTATAGAGCAAAAAGCATCATTACATCTGTATTGTCTATTGATGAGTTTTTTAGAATTTCTCAATGCAAATTCGCTAAAGAAATGTGGGACACTTTGCAAGTCACTCATGAAGGAAAATGTGATGTAAAGAGATCTAGAATGCACACTCTTATAAGAGAATATGAATTGTTGAGAATGAATAATGGTGAATCAATTTCTAATTTTCAAAAGAGGTTTACACACTTGATAAATCACCTTGTTGATCTTGCAGGAAATTTGAAGAAGAAGAATTAAATTTGAAAGTGTTGCAATGCTTGGATAGATCATGGCAAGCAAAGGTTACTGCCATAGAAGAATCAAAGGACTT